TCTATCACGAAAAAAAAAAAGAAAAAAAAAAACAAAGAATCTTTTTTCTTATTTAGAGACGACAATCCAAAAGAAAAGGGGAAAAACATTTTCTCCAACTTCACAAGAAAAACGATATAAAGAGGAAAAAGAATTTCTAATATAACCATCATTATCTGTTTCTGTCACCTAGCTACCTAACAATATAAGCCAACGCGGCCACGTTTCCCCCCGGCCCACTACAACTCATCGGCCAGCGAGCCCAGCAGCTCCCACGCATCCCCACGTGCCTTCCGGCCGCGGCCGAGCGCGTCGAGCACGCGCTGGAAAACAAGCACGCGGCATGGGATCCGGAGCACTCCCTGGTGGTCGTAGCCGTACTCCTGCGCCGACCGATTGAGAAGCTTCACGAAGATTGGGTGGTTCAGAAGCTCCGCGCCCACCACAAACCTCTCCATCTCCTCCCCCACGCAAACCGGCAGGTGACCCTCCGGCACGCCCACCGGTCCACAGTCGGCGACCCTAGACAGCCTTCTAATTAGCTTCTTCATTCTCTATTTTATCCTGACCGGAATTTGGGAATGAAAGATGGAAAATTGGAGTGTGGTTTTTTACCAAGTGAGGATGATTTTGGGGTCGGAAGGAATTTTTGGGAATATAAATACAGTGAGGAGAGAGGAAGAGAGGTACAGATAAGCGTACTTGGCAGGTACAATTTAGTATTATTGTTTGGTGTATTTATTAATTATTTTAGTTTATTTTAATTTTTTTGATAGCAAAAAATTATATTATTAGTTGGAAAATGGGGAAGTGAGGTAAGCAAAGTTAGGGGCGCGTTTGGATTATTGGGGGATGACTCGGAAGTGGTTGTGCTGCTGGCCTCTTGTACTTTATGGTACGAACTACGAACAGTGCCTTCTCCACCTAAATGCCTTAATTTGGTATCAATGAGTGACAATTGACTATTGACAAGCGATGTGAATTGTGTTACTTGCGTGTGATTGATATGAAATTAATTAGAAAAAAATTAATTAAAATATAAATTTAACTCAATTTTAATCTAATTTCATTGTTCTCAATATAATTAAATAATATCAATCAATCATTCTTTCACATCACATCAATTTTAATTTGGTATTATCCACCCATATAATTTTAACTAGCCATCACTTCCAATCATTTTTTGCATACTTTGACATCAAACCAATTATTATGTGGTTGGTAAATTAACTGTTTCTTTAAATAAGTTGTTGGTAAATAATAAATATGTAGAGTTATTATGTTGTATCGCATCTTTTGCATCCCACTATATATATATATATATATATATATTAAATTTTTTACATCGTCCCAAATAATTTAATTTTTTTACCCAAGAAAGTGCGATTATACAAATGAATCGTATAACTGTTGCATCTCAATTGCATAACTGTCGCATATTCCACAAGGGATAATATGCAAATGGATCCCATAACTATCACATACCTTGACATCAATCGCACAATAAAATAAAGGGAAAAATAATTAAAGGAAAGTGGGACAATAATGAAATGCGAGGAAAGATTTGTGTTGAAGCCCATGCGTTCATTCCACCGATTCTGAATGTGGTGCTATGAAAAGTTTGTGTTAAAGCTCTGTAAGTTACATCGATTCCAACTTATAGTCAGACCGAGACGATATGACCGCCTCGAAGATAAGAGTCCAACGGTAGGTTAAGCAACTAGAATGGAGGCCGGGCGATGCCGGAATTCCACCAACATATATAAAAAAAACAAATAATTTTTTGAAAAAATAAATGTGCAAATGAACTCTGTTTGAACTGATATTTTGAAGGTAGAACTATTATGACTGAACGAGCCCAACGATAGATCACTCAACTAGAGTGAACCTTGGGCGAAACCAAAATTCTAGTATATAGAGATCAATCTAAAAAAAAAATCAAAATAAATTAAAAATTAGATTTTAGCATATGATGAAAACATATTCGACTACAAATAAGCAATTATCATTTTTCAAACTACCTCTGTGTAGTCTTCCTCAATAAATTCAATAAGATGATTGCTTAACTATATTTCTAATTGTTATATCTAGATATAATTACGTGTTTTTATTCATTGAATTTAAATAAAAAAAAATAATAAAATAAAAACTACTGATCACATGGGCCACCTGTTAGAATATAATCTTCAGCATTACAAAATTCTTAAGCAAACATAAATTGAACAGTTCAAGGCGACAATTAATAATATAAAATCATTATCAAATGACTGAGAAGAGAGAGTATTATATACTCGATACCTACATGGGTTGGTATATCATTATGAATTTCACTAA